AGTGAGGAGGACCAGAAAGCAGAGCTGAAGAGGCCAGGAGGTGCCCAAAGTGGAGGACCCGCGAGGGGCACCGCAGCCCCCACTCACCTGCCCTCCCCCGAAGCGCTTGCGCAGGGCTTCGATCTGGTCATTCTCCAGCTTCTGGAAAAGGGGGCTCACCTGGAGGCAGGAGAAGGAAAAAAAAAAAAAGAGGGGTCACCCCTGCAGGGCGGGCCAGCACTCCCGATGCCACCCCTGCAGGGCCCAGTGGGAGGGGGCACCGCCTGCCTTTCCCCCCCACCACCACCTACGGTGCCGACGCGGTGCCCGGGGGGCAGGGTGCAGGTGAAGCTGTGGCTCAGGACGAAGCAGCCCGGGGGGATGCAGAGCTGCCCCTGGATGGCCAGGCTGACGCTGGGCATGTAGGGCTGCAGCATGACGGCCAGCAGAGAGGCCGTGTTCACCGCCACGCCGGTCACCGTGCCCGCCCGCTGCCTGCGGGGCAGGAAACCCTCTCTCAGTGCCAGCTCCCAGCCCTGCCCCCCCTGCCCCTTCCCCTCTGTCCCTCCCTACCTGTCCTTCTCGTCCCCCTTGATCCGCTTCCAGGGCTCGTTCACCTGCATGTACTGGTTGCCGTGGCGGGAGATGCTGAGGATACACCTCAGGGCGTCACGGATGCTGGCGGGGTGCAGAGGGGGACGTGTCAGGACGTGCCCTCCCACCCCTGTGACCATTCAGCCCCACTCCAGCCCTGGCCTTCCAGCTACCCACCGGACTTTCTCCAGCAGCTGGTGGTACTGGTGCAGCTCTAAGGTGACACGGGCCAAGAACCTCTTGTCATCCGCTGTCAGGACCATGGGGGGGACAGCACCCCCAAAGAACTTGCACACAAACATGCCGGCTCTGGGGGACAGAGGCGGAGCGGGCGTGAGCACAGCCCAGGGACAGAGCTGGCCCCTGCCACCGCCACCACGTCCCAGAACCTGTTGATGAAGTTGCCCAGGTTGTTCAGCAGCTCCGAGTTGTTCTTGAGCATGAGGTCGCTCCAGGAGAAGGCGCTGTCCTGCCCTTCGGGCCGCAGGTACAGCAGGTAGAAACGCCAGATGTCCGCAGGGATGCCCGTGTCCTTGGCCATGTCCCCAAAAACTCCCACACCCCGGCTCTTGGAAAACTTCCCGTCCTCGTAGTTCAGATATTCTGGGGAGGGCAGGAGAGACCCCACCATGGAGCCCAAGTGTGGAGCCTCTCCCAGGCAGGAACAGCCCCCCCCACAGGGGGAGACACTGTCAAAGTGCCCATCGGCTCACACTGAGCTGGAAGGGGCCTCCACGGAGGGCAGATGCAGTTTTGTGCCTGTGTGGGACAGACCGGACCGTTCCCAGTACTGAGGGAAAGCGGGGAAGGGTGGAGACCCCCCCGAGTCCCCGGTGACTCCCCCGGTACCTGTAGCGATGAGGTGGTTCACCAGGGTGTAGTTGTCATCGGCGCCCAGGAGCGAGCAGGGGAAGATGACGCTGTGGAAGGGGACGTTGTCCTTGGCCATGAAGTTGTAGAGCTCAACCTGACAGCGGGAGGAGGCAGAGGGGGACATCAGCGGACCCCGGCGTCCAGCTCTGTTCCCACCTCCACCCTGCAGCTCCTACCTGCTGCGGGTTCTTCCACCACCTCTCCCACTGGTCGGTGTAGTTGG